ATTCTTAATCTTCTCCTAATTTCCTGGCTGCAGTCCCCATTTCTATCAGTGTTTGATCGCAGATATGAGACCTCTTTTACCATTTCTATTTCCTCATTGTCTAGTTTGACTGTGTGTAAGTTCTCTGTGGCCATTATTTTTATTTCTTCTTTGGGGGCCTTTAAACAGAAGCTGGACAGCCATCTACTGGGGGTGCTTTGATTGTGAGTTTCTTAGACTGAATGGCCCTTGGGGTCTCTTCCAATTCTATGTTTCAATTCTAAATTGAGCAATTAGATTTTAGTTTATTCAGAAAAAAAATGAATGATGACTTGTGACTCATCATTCAGGGGTACAAGCCACTTTTTGCTGCACCCCCTGAAATTCCATCAGGCAGCCCAGGTTAGGAAACCCTGCTGTTTCTATCAAATTCTCAGTTTTGCAGCTTTCTCCCCACAGATCCCCTCATTCACAGCCTTCCTTGAGCTGAGATCGGCTGGCCCCAACCAGGTTTGCCCAGCTCCTCCCTTCACGCCTACACAGTACTGTTATGACCGTAGGCACATGCCATTCTCCCCATGTGGGCAACCTGATGCAATTGCCTCACTCCATACATGGAACGAAAGAATAAATCTATGCACATAGACTGGTCCAGTGGTTCCCAAACTCTGGTCTTCCACAACAGCAGCACTGAAATTCACATAAGTTTCACCCCCCCACCCAATTCCTAAAACATCTATTTAGAAAGAATTTGCCATTTTTAAACTATTGTTGTTGTGTGCCTTCAAGTCGTTTCCAACTTATGGCGACCCTATCATGGGGTTTTCTTGGCAAGATTTGATCAGAAGAGGTCTGCCATTGCCATTATCTGAGGCTGAGAGAGTGTGACTTGTCCAAGGTCACTATCCAGTGGGTTTCCATGGCTGAACAGGGATTCGAACCCTGGTCTCCAGAGCCATAGTCCAGCCATCAAGCCACTACACCCCACTGGCTCTCATTTAAAGCATAGTGGAGCCTATTTCCCAGAGACCTTCTAACATTCTCTTCCAAAGTTTCTAAGAACAATATTGCTGAGAACACTAGCTGTCAAACTTCTCAGCAGTTATCATCACAAAAATGCACTCACCTACACATACCCCAATCTTCCTTTAGAGGCTTAGGGACCCTATGGAACGAACGGACTTAAGGATGTGTGACTTTCAGAGGGAGAGAAGGACATGAAATCCTTTTCTACAAGCAGAAGCATGCTTGCATTATGACTGACTGGTCCCTTTAAAAGTCCTGTATTCTGCCCCAAGAAAAATTGAATTCCTGCAGCGTAAATAAATTTTGCACACTGGGCTAAGTTGCCTAATTCAGTGTCATTTCGTCAGTCACAGACCCATAGAGAAAACATTGAAACCCTGCTAGTCTCAAGAGGCATTCGTACAAGTATAATAACTGGGTGGCAGTACTACAATATCAAAAAAGATTAGGAATAAATCTACAACTATTGATGAGCAGCAAACCTTTCCTTAACAAAATGATCCAGTTTTGGTTGAAGAGAATGGATGGCATCCCCGTCTGCACAGGCACATTTTTAATTTCTCTTCTTTAAATTCTTTAAATTGGGTACTCATAAAGACAGCAGGCTTCCTTTTTCAAAAAATAGTTTCCTTCCTGTGTCACAAACCATCACAGTGACAACAAGGACCGCAAATAGGATTGCAAAAACTCCAGAGACATTGAGTACAAGACAGGGTTTTTCCAGGGCAGAGAGTATAGGCTCAGCTGAACTTCATTCATTTCTTTCAAGCCTTACCAAAAAGTGAAAACATTTCTTAGAACAAATTCAAAATGATATTCACAACCACAAAATTATATTCACCCACGCAAAAATAGAAGAAGCAGGTGCTGTTTCCTGCACCAATGTTAACAAACACATGTACACATTTTAGATAGCAAAAATACACTGCAAAGCAATGCAGAATACCTTAGAAATGACTGCAATGGGGAATTTATGCAGCCCTTTGGATGTTGTTGCACTGCAACTCCCAGCATTCCTCACCATTGGCGATGCTGGCAAGGGCTTCTAGGACTTGCTATCCAGCAGAGCATTTGGAGGGACACATGATCCCCATCCCCTTCTTCTGATAGTCTTCACTTTTTCATCTCAAAGGCCTGTATATGGCAGCACTTTAACCAACCAACCAACCCAAATGGGCAAACATGTTTGCAAAGCTGTTGAAGTCTCTCCAACAAGAAAAAACTAATACACATGACTGACTATCTCAGCCACTTACATCACGTTTAATGATGACAAACAATATTTGGTCAGGTATATGGAACCCCCCCCCTGGGTAACTAGGCAAGTCACACTCTCTCAGCCTCAAGGGAGAGCAATAGCAAACCTCCTCTGAACCAATCTTGCCAAGTGAACCCCATGATAGGTTTGCCTTAGGGTTGCCGTAAGTTGGAAACAATTTGAAGGCACACAACAATGCAAACCCACCTGTGAGTGTGGTGCAGTGGTTTAAGCATTGGAGTAGGACACTGAGAGACCTGGCTTTGAATCCCTGCTCAACCATAGAAACCCACTGGGTGACCTTGGGCAGGTCACACTCTCTCAGCCTCAGAGGATGGCCATGGCCAACCTCCTCTGAACAAATCTTGCCAAGAAAACTCCATGATAGGTTCACCTTAGGGTCACAATCATTTGGAAACAACTTGAAGGCACATGACAGCAACAATGCCTTGAGCAGATCCATAGAAAAGGTCACACACAAAGGTGGAGAGGCAGGTCTCACGTGGTATTGCCAATGTTGAAATAAGTATTATGAAATAAACAATATTATTACTAAATTGATGTGCGTTTTAACAGATGTTTTTTGTTAACTCCGCCTTGATCCATGGGGAGAGAAGGGTAAGAAATAATAAACATTATTAATAAATATTATAGTGTGGAAACTGAGAGCCAGAATCTCTCAATCAAAAAGGAATACATTTAGAAGCTCCCCAGCTTTGCAGAGAATGTTTACAGAGAGCAATGCAATATACCTGCGGCAGTTTTACCCTTTCTAATACATGCTCAAAGAATTTCCATTTTAAATGTCAAAATGTGGAAGGGGAAAGTAGTTTCCCTCTCCAACAATGCTATAATAAAGTACCAATGCAAATAAAGAAGTTCTCCATTACAGTATCTGCATACTGTACAAACCACATAGTTTTACTGGATTGCTTTGCAGCGTTGGAGAGGATAAATACAGTCATTAGGCTTCGTTCAGAAGCCTTGAGTAACCCTAGGATGGCAAGAAAGCAAGGCAGCGTGGCTGATCCTTCATTCTCTGTGGGCTACTAGGTTTATTTATTTCAAAAATAAATAAAAGAGGAAGGATCAAATCACCAGAGACTGGAAAAGTTACCTTTGGGGATTGTTGTTGTGTGCCTTCAAGTCGTTTCAGACTTATGGTGACTCTAAGGCAAACGTATCATGGGTTTTCCTGGCAAGATGTGCTCAGAGGAGGTTTGCCCTGGCCTTCCCCTGAGGCTGAGAGTGTGTGACTCACCCAAGCTCATCCAGTGAGTTTCATGGCAGGGCTGGGAATCGAACCCTGGTCTCCAGAGTCATAGTCCAATGCTCAAAC